TCTCCGACCTGCGCCAGGCGCTCGTCGAGCGCGCGCAGACCACGCTCCGGCACGTCGTCGGCGCGCGCGCGGTGCAGAGCGTCGTGACCGAGCGCGAGGCGATCGCGTTCGAGATCGCGGAGATCGTCGGCGACGTCGCGGACAAGTGGGGCGTCGCGATCGAGGGCATCCTCATCAAGGACATCATCTTCTCGCCCGAGGTCTCCGCCTCGCTCTCCTCCGCCGCGCAGCAGAAGCGCATCGGCGAGAGCAAGGTCATCGCCGCGCGCGCCGAGGTCGACGCCGCGCGCCTCATGCGCCAGGCCGCGGACATCCTCGCGAGCCCCGCGGCCATGCAGATCAGGCAGCTCGAGGCGCTCCAGGCGATGGCGAAGAACGCGAACAGCAAGGTCGTGTTCGTGCCCATGCAGCTCCAGAACGACGTCATCGGCCAGGTCTCCAACCAGATCGAGGCGTCCGGCTCGGGCGCGGGCACGGGCAAGGGCGCCGTGCACGACGAGAGCGGTGAGGGCATGGGCAGCGCCGTTGGCAAAGCTGGCCTGCTCAACTCCGTCAGTGAGGTCTGATGCGTCTCTCGCAGTTTGACCGCCGTATTCCCCCTTGATTACCCTCAGTAACGCCTTCCACGCCTACATCTAGCGCTGTGGCCTTTTTTATACCACCGGAGTGCTCGCGCTCCAGGATAACCCTCGACCGCTGCTGCCATTGTTTACGACTCTGTTGTCATGTATGATACGATACTGTATTCCTGATGCTTGCTGTGGGACGGATCTTAATGACCATTCTTATTATCTGCTGTGCTCTATCCACGAAATGCGCGTGCCTACCATGCTGCCGCCTTGCAGGCGAAGACGATTTGCGTACGTATGTACACCGCCTGACATATACTTGTGGGTCCTTATGGGCGTGATGCAACGTAAGCAAGCGGTCCATCGACAACCACAGCGCGCCCCGCTCAGGCAAGTATCATTCTACTTGCACGGCACAGCCCGTGCTGCATCCATCGAAGACACTATGTTGATACACATTATGTCGACCAAGCGTCGCTATACACTATCGCCCTCTCGACCACCCTCACCCCTGCTTGAACTCGGGCATATCGCGGTGGAACTCGCAAGGCCGCCTACCAATCGCGATCCCCTCTCCCGCGCGCACGCGCCGCTCGACCAGCTCCTCGCAGCCCTCGACACGCACCTTCACGCATAGCTCCTCCTCGTCGTCGATGGAGTGCAGGTGCCCGCACACGCCGTCCCCGAACGGGTGCGGCGCGCACTCGTCGTCCTCTGGCGCGCCGGGCTCGCGCAGGAACGGGTGGTAGAGCGCCGTGCGCGGCGTCATGCGCCGGATCGACTCGGGCTCCATCGCTTTCTCGAGGAAGTCGAGCGCGTGCTCGATCTCGGCCGCGTATTGGTCTCGCTCGGACGGCGTGGGTGAGGGCGCGTGCGGCTCTGCTTGGGGAGGGGGGGAGGAGCGGCCGGGGGAGTAGCAGGATGATGAGGACGGGGGTGGACGGGCGCGTTGGCGATATTCGGGGAGTGTGTATGGGTAGTAAGAGTAATCGGGTTCTGGAGGAATGCGAAGGTCGGGGTTCTGCCTCTCGACGAACTCTCGCCATGACATGCCGTCCTGCGTAAGAGATGGCACGTTGGACTGGAATAATCGGCCTGATAGACATGAGTATCAGTATGGTCTCGCACATAGTGAAGAGGGACATACTGTGCAGTGTGGCTGTCTTCTCCATTTTCCGTCTGCCGATGATGGTCGCAATCTCCATGAGTGCCTCTGTATCATCGCCTGAATGGAATACAGGAAACTTCTTCGTCAGGAAAAACAACAAGATCACTCCCGCAGACCAAACGTCGATAGCTACCGGATACCCGCCTCAGAAACTGCGCCCTGTCCAAAGTCACCTAGCTCACGCACCTCCTGTCTGCTCGCCACACTTTAATAGCACTTCGGGCGCGCGAAAGCCTCGTGTGCCCGCACGATTAGCTTTTGAATGCGGCCTGCACGTGAATGCGATCAGTTGGGGTCCTACGAGACGTGTAGGACAAATTCTCACCGAGTGTCCTTCTCAGGATACCCTACTTTATCCGACGGCCCCGCGCTGCGAATACGCCCCTCCTTCTGCATTCGCTTGATGTGGTCAATGTCGTACTCTGTCCGGGGTTTCAGTCGGCCATGAGGGTGTTCCCGACTTGGTGGGGTGTGAAGACATGAGCCTAGGGACTGTCCACGTTCTACGCGCTGAGGACGGCAGATGGCCGGTCAGAGAGCCGCATATAGCAGGTGGCGAGATTATTACACGTACACAAGCCAGACCAAAGTCGCATAAGGTGCCGACACCGGTTCGGGGATCAAAGAGGAAGTTGGCAGGTTTCACGTCACGGTGGATGATCCCTCGTATGTGGATGTCGCGTAATGCGCGGAACATACAGCGAAAGTATGCTTTCACACCTTCCAGCGGCAGATACCTAAAGTAATCCTGCTGCCCAGTGTAAGCGAAGCGCAAAGCAGCGAGTAAACCAAGTGAATGCCGCATATACCCTGAAGTCGTCGTTCTTGTGGTAAGGCATGATCGCCACCACCTGGTCCTCACGCCGGAAAGCGGTGATGAGCTGAGAGACGTGACGGCAGCCTCTGCAGTCTTCCATGATCATGAGCTCGTTCCGTATTCGTTCAGGCCCGCTGGTCACGTATATGCGCTTGATCGCGACGAAGACTTTGCTGCCCGGTGGATGTGGTGTGCTCTGGTAATATGCAGACGATGACGGCGGGTGGTAACCGTGCCATTCGGCGTTGTGCCATTTCGTGTGGTAGCCGAGGTCGATAGCCTTGTAGACAGCGGAAAAGGTGCCGGTGCCGAGGCGGTCGATGATCTTGTAGTCCTCTGTGAGCTCCGGGACGGCGTTCTCGAGGTCAGCGATTTCCTCTTCAATCTCTGCTTGTTCTTCGCGTGATTTCAGGTATATGGTGAGCTCCTCGTCGGTGTCCACACCCTCGTCCTCTTCCGCTTCCTCCTCTTCCTGGTCCTGTTCCATCTCCTCGCCATCAGAATCACCGTCACTAAACATGTCCTCGTCCATATCCTTCGCTGGCGCTTTGCTGGTAGATGTGCCGTACTGGTACGCGGACGTCTGTGCGTTGGGATATAGCTGGGCGAGGTGCGTGTGGTACCTCTCAAGCTCAGGGAGATTGAGGTCGTTGAGTGGGTCGTCCGAGGATTGCGGGTCACCGCCAAACGGACGAGCCATCTGTTGAGCATGCATCAGCTCCTTGAGATATGCCCGGTTGCGCGTATCTGACGAAGACACTTCAAGCGGGTTGGAGGAGTGTCGCGAGAGGAGAGCGGTAGCAGCCATATATCCAAGAAGACGAACCAAAAGGTGGCACCGCCTGTGTTCAAGGATCCTGGAGAAGCCAAGAAAGGGTAGCTGAGCAGGTAGTGGATGAGAGAGAGCGCGTGTTCTCCAACAAAAGCACTTGAACTACGGCAGCCACCGACGCGTCCTGATCAACTCAGAGTCCATTCCCCCAGACGCGTCTCGGCACGTGGGCGGGAATGCCGCATGGCGGAGCTCAAAGGTTCTATTTCGGACATCTAGTCGGAGCAATAAAAGGCCTACATTCTTTCACACTCAGAAAACAGCATCAAGCATCAGTGCGGACGGCAAAAATGGAAGGACCACCGCCAAACTCGGACCTGCAATCTAGTTGTCCCCCATTCCTTATGACAGCCAAATATTGAATATTGAGATGTGGTGACTACACTCCCCCCATGTTTCCCATGTTCTCACAAATCACACAATATAATAGGTTAGTGCCCTCTACAATTCAGAGCTTTTAAGTGGAACTATCTGTTGGGAATCCGATTCACAGGATGCATAGAACATGGGACAGTCTATCTATACCCAGTACTGTACCAACTGAATCATACTTTGGCACATTGGCCACCATCAAAATGTAGTTTGTTCACTGCCCTCCAACATGACATGCCAGCAATGATGTAACATTGGCCGTCTACAAATGGGCTAGCCAACATGTACCTTGCCCTCATACTCTGAGCTTTTGTGATGCCACACATGCATTGCATTGCCAAAGTTGAAGACCACTCTTCCACTAAAACCACCACAGGTGGTATCAGAAGCTTGCTCCCCTTCCCTCCCCTTGCATAATTCCCCAGATGGTATGTACCTTGTGTTGCCCTGACATGCAGCACACTTGCTGACTACTGCCGACTACGCTCACAACGAAGTGAAAACATGACAAACGATCTATTCCAGCTGCTGATGGGCATTGCCCCCAAAGATTCTGAAACAATAGATGCAGGAACAGGTTCGAGAGATGTCTTTGCTCTCTCTCGAAGTTGGCCGTGTCATCACCAACATGTGAACCAATTGTGGGTGCTTCACCTGCCAGCAAATGTAAGGCCCCGTTCAGCGTACGGGTTGAGACTAGGTTTACGTGCCAAAATGCTAGTTGATAGAGAGGCCACCGAGAGACCCCGTAGGCCCTCAACCCAAGCGATGGTTGGAGACTTGGAGCTGGGTTTGATGGACTAGTAGCAGTCCAGTCTCTGAGCCAACAGATGCTCTCACTCGAGATCTACCCAGACTGATACTCGTTGGGTACTCCACATCCACTAGATCTATTCCACGGGTTTATCAGATCCTAATCCACCCAAGTCTTAACCCAGTCTTAATCCGCGCGCCGAATGGGGCCTAAAGCTTTACGCAGATAGTGGACAGGTTTGATGGCTCTGCCTTTTTCACCTAAGCCTGTCACCCACAAGTATGCCAACTTTGGCCACTCTTGCTTATCTTGCCCCAATCACCTGAGTCTGCGTTGCATTTGAGACTTATGAGCCTTGCTCAGATGAACACCCAGCTGTTCTCTTGTGGGAGAGCAAATAGATTCTTTAGAACATAAAACTGAGCATGAAGAGGGCTGTCGTTTGTTGAACTCTTCAAAAGAGAAGTAGGGCAAACATGCAAAAAGAATGACCACCGCAGGACTCGAACCTGCAACCTTTTGGTGTCACGTGACTGACTGGTGCCGTCGGCGATCGAAGCCAAACGCGCTACCATTGCGCCAGGTAGCCATGCTGAATGACGGGTACGCCTAAACCAGGTAGTCTACAATACTTATTCGTAATTTACTCACGAGTTCCCTCTTGCTGGACAGAGACAGAAGAGACAGTCGCGCTTGGAAGTTGTGCTCACTGCTGACCCATGTCCCATGTCGTCAGTACGAGGCGTTTCGATCTGAGCTAAATGCTGCACTACGACTTTGACCACTACGCCTACACAGTTCTATCCAGTCCTGCTTTCCAACAGATAGCTCCTTTGCTATTCCTCATTCTTGTTCCAACGCTCGTGCTGGTCCTGAACTCGCACCGTCGTTCCATCGCCGCCACCACCCTGATGGTTTTCGAATCTCTGGCTCTCATTCTTCCTTGGAACTGGACAGATGGCTCCTCTTCAAGCGGCTCGAACAGGACAAAGTTGAAGCGTAAACATGTCCGTACCCGCGACGACCAGGTAGCGCGGACGGAAAGCCAAGGTATGTGCCGCCTGATGCCTCCCGAACAGAGAGGCAGCAGAACACAGATATTGTTACAGACAGCTCGTACGATGGCTCTAGTGAGGATGGGTACTATCCTGGGCTTGTGAACATCTCAGGCACATACTGCTTCATGAACTCTACTCTCCAGGTACGTCTTACATGGGGCTTCGCCGATTTCCACTTCTCCAGCTGTGTCGTATAGGCCATGGCATCTCTGTCATACCTCCAGCCTCAGCTGGAGGAAATCCATGCTCGGGCGGAAGCATTAGATGTGCCCACTCCAGTCATCGACTCCTTGCGGGACCTTGTACGCAGTAAGTATGGCTATGCTGCCTACGTGTACCGGACTTGACAAAACGTGCGTCTAGTCCTGAACACACCGACCTCCTCCGCCCGTGCAATACGCCCCGTGGAAATCATCAGCGCTCTGTCCAATCACAATCCGGGCAAGCACAACTCCCTATTCTCCTCTCGAGAACACCAAGATGCACAGGAACTCTTTCAATTGCTCTCCGAGTGCATCAAGAGCGAGGCCGTAGCTGTGGCGAAGGAGAGCCGGCGAGATCGAGGGCTCGGAGCCCTGACCAAGGAAGACGCCCTCACCGTCCGAGACCTGAGCCAGACGGTGTTTGACGGGCTCACAGCGAACAGGAGAAGCTGCATGGAGTGTGGCTACACCGAGGCAGTCATGCACTTCCCCTTCGACAACTGGCAATTGGCCGTGCCGCGTATGGTGGTATGCGTGACCTCGCCTGTGTCCTTCTGACCTAACAGCTGATGTCATCCACAGAGCGCATGTCGCCTCGAGGAGTGCCTGGAAGACTATACGAGGTTGGAGCTCTTGAGCGACTGTATATGCCGCAAATGCTCGATGTTGGCGACGTACAAACGATTAGAGCAGGAAGCGGAGAAGTTGACGGAGGCCTCGCAAGCGACGAACGATCCGAGTTCATCCAAGAAGAAGCGCGCACGGGACGCTAGGAAGTTGCTCACCCGCGTCAAGGCGGCTTTGGATGAAGGCCGCATCGAGGAAGACATCAAGGGCGTGAAGATGGAGAAGGTATTTAGTCGCGCATCCACTAAGCAATCCATGGTTGCTCGCGTAAGTCCGGTCGATGCTATCTTGGTGGTATACACTCATTCTCATCTCGCGCTCAGCCGCCGCCTGTCCTCGCTCTCCATCTCAACCGCTCAATGCACTACGGCAATTACGCCGCCAAAAACAACTGTCGCGTCGTCTTTCCCGAGATCCTCGACCTCACGCCCTACACAACCTCCGGTCAGCTTTCCACCCAGCCCTCCGCCCCCATCTCCTCCCCTCCTCCGCCCATACCTATCCAGCGCTCAATCACTCCCACCCCTTCTAACTATGCAGTTCCGCGCACGCTGTACCGCCTTTCGGCAGTCGTGTGCCACTACGGCCAGCACTCCTTCGGGCACTACGTGTGCTTTCGCCGCAAGCCTCGACCACCATCCGCAGGCGACCGCCGCTTCGCTCCACCGAGACTCGCCTGTCCGCTCGGATGCGACTGCGCAAAGTGCGAGCGGTACGGCCCTATCCGGGACGCGGACGACTCTGGGACGCGGCCCGGGCGGGGGTGGTTGCGTATCAGCGACGACACAGTACAAGAGTGCGGGATCGAGCGAGTGTTGCAGGAGGGCTCGGGCGTGTTCATGCTCTACTACGAGCGCGTACAGCAGCCGCGGCCGTCCCCGTACTCGGGCTCGCCACGAGGATCGGAGGAAACTGTGAAAGGAGAGGAGTCGCACGCGCCTGTCGCCACAAGCGGGGCGGAGCTCGTGAGGAGGGAGAGCAGACATAGCAGGCAGAATGGAGATGTCGCGGCGTCTGCGAGGAGACGGGAGAGCAGGGAGCGGCGCGAGGATAAGAGCACGGCTGTTCCGGCACGCGTCGTGCGGAGAACGTCCGCGCATAGAAGCCTGAAGCCGAGCGCGCCTCCCATGTCTAGGACGGAGAGCTCGAGCACGACGGCTACCACCGCGAGCGCGAGCTCGAAAGTCTCCAACGGGGACGCCAGCACGGTCAACGGGCGGTCGCACTCGCACTCACGCTCGCACTCGCACTCACACTCACATTCGCACCACCACCATCACTCACGCGCGCCCTCTCGTCCGCGCACGCCTCCGAGCGCCAGCACCGACCAGGCAACGTCCCCACAACGACCACCGCTGTCGCCCACCCCGTCCAGCAAGTCCGCGCGGCTGAGGAAGAGCAGGCGGTCGATCTCGCAGTCCTCGGACGGATACCCGCCCGCGTCGCCCGTGCAGACCAAGTCTCCTGCGTCGATGCGGGCGTAGGTAGTCTTGGCTTTCGGTCGTCGAGATCGCCCGAGTCCTACTGTATCGAGTCGGCTTACATTTATTGGTTTAGTCTATCTGTATGCGACACCCCACCCTCACCACCCCTCCGCTCTACCGTAGATCTCTTACATACCTTTTAGCCTCTCATTGCTATGTATGGCCCCCTTGGCAGGAATACACACAATTTTTTTCACGAGCACCCGGCGGTGGCAATGAGAGCATCCAAGGAGGCACGCGATAGAGACGAGTCGCCTTGGGTATCAAATATCAAGGAAGTAAATCCTCCTCGCACGCTGGCTCGGAAGCCTCACTTGGCGCAGATGTGGAAGGCGGGGCGAGAATAAATGACGTGTCTATCTACATACATATGTGGGGGAAAGGCAGGCAAGTAATCCAACAAGGGAATCCAGGAAAGACGGGTAGTGAAGTGAGGGTTCCGACCAGAGACCAGTGTACATCATGCGTCGCGGGCGCATCGCGCCGTCATATATCACAGCGTTACACACACGAGCAGCTCGCAGGAAATGAAGAGTCCTGTGGATGAAATCCAAGTACAGCGAGGCCCCGAGGGCGCGGGACGAAGAACGTGCTCCATCCCGAAGGGCATGATGGCGTGCAGGGCAGGGCGTATCATCGCATGGCATGGTATGGAATGACGGGGGGAGGGTCAATGAGGGAACGAGCGAGGTGTCCAGGTGGTATGCCGTACGGATGGTGTCCAGTGCATGCGCAGCCGTGCAGGAGCTGATCACCAGTAGATGGTGCGCTCGATGGTGCGCTTGTGTTGCGGCGACGGGCGCGTGTACGAGATCGTCCGCTTCACGCGCGTCACGGTCGGGTACCTGCGCGGGCGTGCGAAGACGTCATCAGCCTCCGTGGTCCTGGGCTATCTCGACACCCCCTCCACCGAGAACGTACGAGAACGCCGCGGGGGAAAGGGAGAGAGAGGGGAGGAGAGGAGAGGACGTACCATGCGTGGTAGATCTCACCGGGCTCGAGCTGGACCTCGACGATCTGGCGGCCCTGTGTGTGGTCGTAGATGAGCGCGAGAGTCAGAGCACCTTGAGCAAGGGGAAACGTACCGCGTAGTCAATGTGCGAGCCGACGACGAGGCCCTCACGACGGCCCTGGGTGTGCGAGACGGTGACGATGTCGCCGGGCTACCAGGAGCAACATTGCGGACAATCAGCCTCCGCGCGATGATACGCATAGCAGCACACGCAGTGCGCAACTGCAGAGATACATACGATAATGTCATCGGAAGCGTAGGAGGACATGGCTGCGGTCGATAGCTGGGGATGGGACTTGCAAGCTCGAGGACGACAGAGGACAATAACGGGCGCTTGGCGCTAAGCGACACGCGTGCTTGATGGAGCCGAGGGCGACGAGGACGAGGCTTGAAGAGCGACAACAACAACGGCGATGTCGACGACGAGGGCGAGGGCGAGAGGACGGCGAGCAGCTGCGAGATGGTGATGATGATGAGGGGGGAGGAAAAAAGTGGCGGAAAGACAGGCTTTTATAGATTAGATGCGGGCGGGCTCGCTTCGCGGGGTGCACGCACGCGCGAGGCAGCCATGAGGCGCGGATGACCCGGCAGCAGCTCCCCACCATCCTCCCTTCCCCGGCTGTCGTCTGTCGCCTTTCGCGCGCGCCAGACGGGCTTGGCCGTGTCCTTGTTCTTGTTTGCGGCGGTCGCGCGGGGCTGCCTTCGCCTTCTTATTGTGCGCTGGCGGGTGCGAGGGGGAGGCGAGCGTCGCGTTCGTCTCGCGGAGGCGCTTGCCCGGGGTGGCTGTCGAGCGCGTGGGGTTTCGTACGGCTTCGCGAGCTTTCGTCCGTCCTTGGGTGCTTGTGTTCAATGCATTGTACTATTACGCTGCACAATGCAGTGCTCGTTGCTTGTACTCTGACTTGGGATGATAGATCATAGACCTACAGTGACGCCCGATTGCTGTAGTAAACCGTCCTGGGAGTAATCACCGGATGATTCAGAGCACCACGATCTCGCGCGAACGCAGGTATCCGTCAACGCACGCACCGAAACCGCGCGGATCAACCGCAGGCCACCAGGACACAGTGAGGTGACCGGTAAGTACCAGGTCGCCCATCGCATCGCACGTGACTGTCACAGCTATCCTCCAAGTGAGCACTCGACGATGATCGCTCCATGTCTGCTGCTGCTGCTGCTGCTGCGAGAAGGGAAGCATTCAAAGG